AAAAAAAAAAATTGTAACGGCATCAGTAAAACGAGAAACTACCGTCGCGAATGTAAAACCCTAAAGGACGATCACTTCCATGTTTACAAAGTCGCACTCGACGATGGGCTTGAGGGATTCGATCAACATCAATGATAGCGGAAACCTGGAAAAGTTCCAATGCAATAAAGTTGATCTTAGGCATAAACTTCAGTCCAATTACACTCAATCTGAAAGATCTTTGGCCATAATTTAAGGAAACTACAAATGCCTAAAAAGTCTCCCAGCTAAAATCAAAAAATACACCACCAACATCAAAGAACCTTTCACGAAAGCGAAGCGATATAAAGCACTTTAACGTAAAATAAAAAATATGAGTAACCTGGCGGAAGTCTTCAGGATTTGATATATTGTATGTTCTTTTTGGAGGTCTGGAAACTGACGGGAGAATAAGCCCAGACAGGCCTTTCCTATGACGGTCAATAGTATCAGTCCCATACCCGTACTTTTCTTCCCAGGATTCCCCTTTTCTCTGAATTAATAAACGCAACGTCGGTTTTGCAGATTCGAAAGACTTTCGAAAGTTCTACAATAAAACAAAAGGCCGTTCACTTTTGAAAAACACAGCTGCATAATGGTGAGGACAAATACAAAAAAATAAAAATTTGAATTTAGTAGCCTTCTTATGTCTCGCAACCAAATGACACACCTACTGCGTCTAATGAAGGACGCTAACAACATTTACCACTTAGGTGAAGCACACCGTACTCAAGAGTCAGAAGTCAAAAAGTTATGAAATGTTAAACTTTATAGCGTACTCTTCCAATTAATAAACGCAAAACACGCTTACTACAAAGTAAAATACGAAAGCAGCGCTACTTTTGAATGTCAGCAAGGTTTTAAAAATAACCTCATCATTAGTTATAGGAAGCAGATCCCCAGCAGAACTTGTATAGCATAAAGTGAAAGGGACGCTATGAAGTGAGTGCAAGCCTTCAACTAAAGAACGGAACTCTACGTAAGACGGAGGTTTGGCGTCTGGAAAGGGAAGGGAGAACCGACGCCACTCAGAGTCAAATTTAGATTTCACCTGAAACAAAATAATTTTAAGGGTACCATTATAAATCCATTCGCAGACTGACGTAAAAGCTGCCTTTAGAACTAGTTACGAATCACTGTCCACTAAGAGGGAAAAAACTTGAGACGTCTACAGCGACCACAAGCCTTTTAAAAACCACTTTTTGAAGCAAATTTCTTAAATAGAACCAGATTAATTAAAATTGCCATCCTAAATTTAAAAATTAATCTCTGATGTACCTGATATAACTTTATATTAACTAAATTTCATGATACTCTGAAAAGTAAAAAAAATAAAACCTGCAAAAAGTGAGGGAACGGTGGAGAGTGGTATTGATACAACGGGAAAGGTGGGTTACGCCCGCTGGACTGAAAAAAAACTAAGCCATTCATACATTAAGAAATTTCTGCAAGAAGCCAACCGTGAAGCAATGAAAACAAATAAAGCAATTTGTATATGGGAATGGCTCAGCCATTCCATGCCAAATCGCACACTTTTTCCTCTTCATATCTCAGATTTTTTTAATATTTCGCTGATTAGTAGTCTGGGCCAAATAGAGAAAGCGGAAAGAGAAATCTGAAAAAGTGAATCCCCACCATGTGACGTCCCCTCGAAGTTCCGAAATTTATCAGGTCGCCGCTTGACATACCTACCTCTCCAAACTTGTAATTTAGCTTGTCCTTAATAAACTTTGACAATTCTTTCCTCTTTAAACATGTCCTGAACACTTTGAAACGCACAGTTATTATTTTAATTCGCCAGAAAATCACATAAATACAGTAAAAATAAAATTTCAAACAAATATTAAATAAATAAAGCCTTAAATTTCTTTAAAAAAACATTTTGTGCAAAATTTTTTGTCTACAACATATTTAAATTTGGAGATGGCGATTTTTCGGTATCGAGAGCTACGAGCCGAGATGGAATGTAAAACTGGAAAAAACATACCACTTTTTTAGTAATTCCGCACATTTTACAGTGGCGAAATCATCCCGGGTTTCTTCTGAAGGCTGCAGTGGACAGCTACAAATATCCGGTATGCTTCAAACGTTAAAAATTTGCTACCAAAGTTGTACTTTACTATAATAATATTAATAAATTATTATTCTGCAGAGTTGTAAAAGGTAACCTTCACACTAGCGTTTTCTATTTGTATTCAGAACCGTCTTCATCTTGTACTGGTTGGAGTTCTCGTTACACAAGCGGGCAAAAGCTCGACTCGTTGTTTTTCTTTCTAATTATGTCGTCATTCTCCAAAAACAAAAAAAGCTTGAGAAAAATCTTAAATCAACACTTACCCCTGCAAAGCAGCAACTTCTTAAACTTCTTTGCGATGCCAATATGTATACTAGCTACATAGTTCCCACAGAATAAAACACGAGAAGTAGAAAACGCTGAAGTAATGACTACCTCTTACAACTCTGCTGGATAGTAATTTATTAATATTATTAAAGTAAAGTATAATTTTGATAACAAATTTTCATTGTTTAAAGCATAGCAGATATTTGTAGCTGCCCGTTGCGGCCTTCAGAAGCGACTCCGGATGGTTTCGCCATTGTTAATTATATGGGATTGCTATAAAAATATTATGTTATTTTCAATTTTACATTCCACTCCGGCTCGTAGCCCTTGATACCAAAAGATCGCCATCTCCAAATTTGATATGCTGCAGAGCAAAAAATTTTGCATGATATATTTTTAAAAAAATTCAAAACTCCGTTTTTTAAAATGTTTAGTTAAAATTTTATTTTTATCTTATTTATGTGATTTTTTAACAAAATTAAAATGATAAAGAAGCATTTAGATGTTCAGGACACGACAAATATAAGAATAAAAAAATTATTAAATCCCACCGAAACCGTGCTAAATTACACGTCTTCAAAGTGGCAACCTGGCAAATTTTGCAAATTTGAAAAGGTTTAACTTAGCCGGAAATTCACTCTTTAGATTTTTTATTTTTCAGCTTTTTGTATACTGGCCCAGACTAAATTAACTGGCAAAATTTAAAAGAAATTGAGAGATGAAGGGGAAAGTGTGCGATCTGACATAAAATAGCCCATAAATATATACATATGAAGCGTCCCAAGAAAAGACGCCCACTTTAGTACCTCGACCTCTTAGATTTTCTTCATTTTTTGCCTACTTGTCGCAACTGCAAAGATATTTTGAAATCGAAAAAGTTCACCTGAAAATGCGCACTGGAGGCAAAGTTAGACCTGCAAAATAAACGCAGTTTACATTCGACATGGTCATATTTAGGAACTTCTAGTTCTCTGTACTCGTAACGGATTTTTCTCATTTTTACTTCGTCTGAAAGCCGGTCCCCTGCAAATTCAGAGAAGTGCTGAAATGCTGACAGTATTAAATTCTATTCTAGAGTAAA